AAAGGGGAGATTCGTGGACAGTGGACATGGCGAACAAGGGAGGCGTTGAAGTCTATCACAAAAAAGATGGAGGAGCTTACGAGTCGGACTCCACTGTCCGGGCGGTCGGGGGCCAGCATTCGATCGTCCCCGTCTGATCTTGGGTTCTTGCGATTGGGCGATGGAGGCATGGCGTTGGAAATGAAGGGACAGCCATTGGGCAGTCTATGCAAGGCTGAGTCGTCAGGATCTCCGCTGCTCGTCAACACCGGATGAAGTTCAACAAGAGGGAAGAAGGAAAAGACTGTGAACGATGATGATACCAAGGTGACGGGAGAGGCGCTGCCCACTTCGGGAACATCGCTGACGACGCTTGAAGGGGCGGCTTAGCCTCATTTAGCTGGGCTGTGGGCCCCTTAAGGCTCGCCGCTCAGTGCTCACCCTATTAACTCGGCCCTGTAATTCATGCATTGGCCCTGATTGGACCTTTGCAGCGGTACCTTTCAGTGCTTTTTTCCACTGCTTTAGCGCTTCCACCACTCGGGAACTCCAGTTTGGTCAGTGGACAGGATCGCCCCCACATCGGCCACGGCATTTGGCTGCTCAGATGGAAACCAACGTCTCTCAGTTTTGACGTCCTTCATCTACCAATAACTGGCTAGGGTCTCACCAGCCCTTCTTGGCAGATGTTCGTCCGGAAGTTCGCCGGCTCAGCCTTTCTGTCGTCGTCGTCGTCGTCCCTCTCTTTCTGTCTTCCCCTTGCCAGTTGTGGTCCTGCATAGATCCAGAGCTGACGAATATTTCCAACATGCAAACAAGGTTGAGCCACGCCAGTGTGGGTTCCCTTCCCGACTCAGAACAGTCTGGACGAAGCAGAGGAGCGTCATTTCCAATTCACGTCTCCATTGCCGGCGCTATTCAGAAAAGAAGCTTGTCTTTGTGCATGCGCTCCCCAGGATCCGCTTTTTGTCTCTGCGCCATCTGATTGTGAGAGTCGTCCTTCATCTACCACCTTGTCCATGTACGCGTAAACATGGCCGCCGAGTCAATGAAGCCCTGGAATGCCAAGAGATCGCAGTAGAGGCAGCCCCGTATGTTGGAGTAAGGTAGTTGCTGGTTAGTATTATGGGGGATGCGTTCGGTCGAGATGGGATGACGACGAAGAGGAACTCGTGAATATAAACCAACGTCGTCTTCCTCTCAAATCACGACTGAAAATACTCTCACCATCTCATCAGTCTCACAGTCTTTTTCGATACCCGGCAGTGCCTCAGCCTTTCTTTTCACTTCTCAGTATAAGTCACTTTCTCTTTGCAAGAACAACAAGTCTTCATATTCTTTCGTGCTCGCCAACATGCGTTTCGCTCAGACCGTCGCCTCGGGTCTCGCCCTGCTCTCCAGCGGCGTCATTGCCCACCCCGGCCACGACCTCACCCAAGAGATCGCCGAGCGCCGTGCTTTCCTCGGCTCCGTCAAGCGCGCCTCTCTCAGCCACTGTGCCTCCAAGCTCAAGGCCCGCGGCCTCACCCAGCGCAACGTCGAGCGCCGAACTGCCGCCCTGAACAACGCCCGCGCCAAGCGTGGCCTCAAGAAGCGTGACTTTGACACCATCTTGGCCACCTCCCACAACCAGACCGGCCAGGGCTACACCCTCAACACCGATGCCGCTACCCTCTTTGCCGGTAACGCTTCGTGTGTCCTCACTCCCGAGGTTACCCAGGGTCCTTACTGTAAGTCATATTACAACCGATATAATAGTGCCTTTTCACTGACATGTCCTTCTAGACGTCGGTGGAGAGTACATCCGTCGTGATGTCCGCGAGGACCAGGAGGGTGTCGACACCGTCATCGACTACCAGGTCATCGACGTCGACACCTGCGAGCCCGTCCCTGACGTCTACCTCGAGATGTGGCACTGCAACTCGACCGGTGTCTACTCCGGCATCGTCGCCTCGGGCAACGGTGACTCCTCGGATGAGTCCAACATTGACGAGACCTGGCTCCGTGGTATCCAGAAGACCGACACCGACGGTGTTGCTCAGTTCGAGACCACCTTCCCCGGTCACTACACCTCCCGCGCCACCCACATCCACTTGATGGTCCACCAGAACGCCACCCAGTACTGCAACGGTACCCTCGGTAACGACGTCGTCGCCAGCCACGTCGGCCAGGCCTTCTTCGACCAGGACCTCATCTCCGCCGTCGAGCTGAGCGCCCCCTACAACACCAACACCCAGGATCTGACCACCAACGCCGATGACTCCATCGCTTCCGAGGAGGCCGCCACCGAGGGCGTCGACCCCTTCCACGAGTACACTCTCCTCGGCGACGACATCACTGACGGTGTCTTTGCCTGGTTGGCCTTTGGCATCAACACCACCGAGTCCCAGTCCGTTACCCCCGCCGCCTTCTACTACGAGAGCGGTGGTGTCGAGAACGAGAGCTCCGGCTCCGGCATGGGCGGTGGCTCCGGCGGCTCTCCCCCTGGTGCCAGCGGTACCGGCAGCGCTACTGGCAGCGCCGCTACCGCCACCAGCACTGCTTAAGGATATTAAGTCTTGACTGGATAGAGATTGTCTTTCGATTTCAACAATTTTTTTGTAAATAGATTTCTACATGTATAAAAAGCGGACTGCAACGCATTGAGGACTTCTTCCTCATCGCCTTGAGTCTATCAATAGATCGTCACTTGGAACGAAACTAAAAACTTGTCTCTGAACTGCTGCTGTCTGCGAATGTGCATATGCTCTCTTCTCGCTGTTGGCGGTTTGATAGTGTTCGAATTGTTTCGAGGTCAAAGGAAAGGCATTGACGGGTTCGATATAGCCATGTCCAATTTTGTAGAAGTGGAGAAAGGTCTATTGGCTGGTGCTGCAGATCATGTACGATGTAATAATAATGGTGGTACGAAACAGTCGGCAACTACCTATGTATGCTATATAAAATATGCAAGCAGACGAAAACCATATTGCTGTTTCATTGGACAAAATCTCCTAGACCATGAGGCTTTCGGATGGATGCCAAGCTTTAGTAATTCGAGCAGAGCACCTGCAATGCAATTTGGGTGATTGCTGGCAATAAAACTTGACATAATTCCGCTACCAATTTCATATTACATACAGAAGCGTGAACATTACCCAAAGTGATTTCTCGTCGCAGATTTGTTTGCATCCGAGGCATTCCCCCCCCCCCCCCCCCCCCCCCCCCCCCCCCCAAACAATTGAATTTTCATATATCGTAGTGTCTACTGTAGTCTGTTACATTCGATCGTCAGTATGGTTGGGCTGTTCCTTTTGAGTCCTGCCCCGCCTGGTGAAGCGATCTGAGCGCTGGGCGGGTGTACCGAGGCCTGCCATGATGCATGCTGAGCGCGAGCCGATTGGATCTTGGCCTGCTCTTTCGGTGGCCAATCGATCTCGGGGTACTGGACGCACCCCGCAACACAGCCAAGAGAGCGACAGCAAAGATCCCGACGTCACACTGCCAGAAGAGGAAGCCTGGAAAAACAGATCTCCACTGAGCCCGCAACGAGCTCGTGTGTATTTAATTCATGGCGGTCCCGGCCCAACGATGAGGCCAGGTATGGCCGACAGCAAGGTATGACGTGGCGACGACCAGATCTGGCTGATAAAACGCAAAAGAAGCTCAAGAAAACCAAACAGCTCATGTTCTGAGGCGAAACATTATTATCGGTCGTTCTCACCTTGATACAGAAAGAGCAGACTTTCAGGTTGTTCAAAATGCTTTGGAGAAACATACAAACGGTCATCCTCGCCGCCTCCTCGGTAGCAGGCTCGCGTCTGCCTCCGCGGCCAGCGGACGTAGTCCGGGACGTAGCACCGCGGCAGACGGACAGCACGCTGTCCCAGCTTCTGGACTTTGCCAACGACCTGGGCCTGACGGCCTGCCTACCCCAGGCGCTGCCGCTGGCGTCGGAGCTGCCCGCGATCCCCCCGGGCCTGCTCAACAATGATCTCTTCTCGCAGGCCCTGAGCCAGACGACGCTGGCGCTCTCAGACGTGTGCCAGTTCTCGATCACCGGCTCCGACGGGGACAAGTTCACCTCGTTCCTTCCCGAGGTCTATAGCTGGTACGATTCGCACTCGTCGCAGATCGCGAGCATCGTGTCGGGATGCACGTCAGCCAGCCCGCTCGTGCAGACGGTCGAGGCGTTTGCGACGTGCACCCAGGTGGTCGATCAGCTACCGGCCAGCATCACGGCGCCCGATGCCACGGCCACCGGCTCGGACGCCCTGTCCATCCAGACCGACACGGAGACGTTCTCGATCGAGACGGACACCGTCATCGGCGTCTCGACCCTCTCGATTACTGAGCCGACAGCTACTGCTTCCGAGACTGATACCGAGACTATTCCGACGGACGGGACTGGGAGCGCGTCTGCGACGGACACTGCGACAAGCAGTACGACTGAGTCTGCGACGCAGACATCCACCGAGAGCAGCTCATCAAGCTCCTCCGTGTCGCAGGCGCAGGCGCCGCGCGAGACCGGGTTCGTTGTCGCGGCGGCAGCTATGGCCGGCTTTATTGGCGTTGTCGCGGCGCTGTGAAAGTGACCTGGGACTTTGCGCGAATGATGGACTGGGCGTCATTTTGAGTTGGGAGCGCGCAACAAAAGGTTGCGAGTTTATAAGCGTTTCTCGTTAGTGGTGCAATCGCTACTTGTTCAGCTCCGTCTGTGTTCACAGACATCATCGAAATTGATATCACGTCTGTGTCAGATAAAAGATTGGAATATGTATGGTGGACCATCTGGAATCTGTTTGTATGGTGTACTCTGTAGAACATCCAGCGTCTCGGCACTTTCAGTTCCTTGTGTCTGTAGCAGCGCTAGGATCAAGCCAACACCAACTTCTGCAAACAATGGTAGGCGCCGAGCACTATTTCTCGAGTCAATAAATCCCACGATGTGGATCTGGAAGAAAAAAGATTTCAAGTACATGACACATACCGTAATAACGGCGGTTTCTTTCAACGAATCACATCAGATCTGATTCAACTCATCTCGATTAGTATAGTGGTCAGTATGCCAGCTTGTCATTGAACAAACAATTCAATACGCTGGAGACCGGGGTTCAATTCCCCGATCGAGAGGAATTTCATTTTTGCCAATCAATTCTCTATTTGTTTTGAATCATGGCGGATACCTTTTCACTGGCACAATTCATCATAGATCGTCAACAACCTGGTGGGTTTTAATATGCTTTGCTGCGAACGAGCGGAAATGGAATGGCAAACACAACCTCCCCCTCTTGGAGCTGTGGCTCTGAACGGCCGCTAAAATAAAGAGCCAGCAGACCGTCCCGAATCGCCAACGACTCTTGCTATACCTACCTATTATATGTACGCGTACGGAGTATTCAAACCCCGGTCTGTCAAAGCGCGCATGAAAACATTTCCAGAATGTTTCCACGCCGATCTGGCCAACCACGGCCTAATTGCCCGGCGCGGGCGATGAGTAAGCGGATGCGCAAAGATAAGTGAGTGCCGACCGACATTCTCGCGAGTGGGCCCTGCTTTCGGGCTCCAGCGGACGTTCCGGGCGGCCGTTCGGGGCCATGAGGTACCGGATAATTTTAGTATTAGTTGAACATTTCAACTACAACCCGAGACAAAGGTGTCGACTATACTCCGCACATGTCAAGAGCTTATAACCGAGTATTTCGCAAGAGTATTTTCCAGACTACAAAGCGTGATCCCAGGTCTTGCACGAACTGGATGTTATAACATCGGATCGCCTTCTGAGATTGAAGAGGAAAAGGGAAATATCTTCAAACTCGACCATTTGAGTTGTTATATCAGCTTACCGCAATGGCACGAACGTTCAGTGGTGCTGCCGGCGACACCACGATCATACTGGTCGCTATAGGAGTGGTAATACGGCCCAAGCTCGCTCGTTTTGTCGAGCACGCCTCCATTCCTCTACTGGTCGACATGGACTGATTCGTCATGAATAGCTTGCTCTCCATCGCATGGGCTTGATCGTGTATCGGCTCTTCTTCCATCCATTGTGCAAGATCCCCGGCCCCCGCCTGCAAGCAGCGACATCATTGCCTTTTCGATATCAGCATCACATCCAAGCGACGTGGATTCGCCAGACAGTCGATATGCACCACAAATATGGCCCTGTTGTGCGCGTCGCTCCAGACTTGATAGCTGTGGAGGGCTCCGTAGCATGGCCCGAAGTCTATCATCATCGCAGTGGCGGCAGGGCCGAGTTCAGGAAAATTCCCAATTTCTTCTTTCCCGGCGACCACATCACCATCATTGGAGGCAACACGTCCGAGGTCCACCGCCGGCAGCGTCGACACCTGGCCCACGCGTTCAGCGAGGCCGCCATGTACGAGCAGGAGCCCATCATCAAGAAATACGTAGATCTCCTGGTGGAGAGGCTCACGGAGCTCGCCAAGCCCGGCAACGCGGTGAACATCGTGCACTGGTTCAACTTTGCGACGTTCGATATCATCGGCGACCTCGCGTTTGCCGACTCGTTCCACAGCCTCGAGTCCAGCAACTACCACCCGTGGGTCCAGGCCATATTCCAGAACGTCAAGGCCGCCAGCTATCGAGGCTTCCTGAATGCCTACCCCGTCCTCCAGGTGCTGAACTACTTCAAGCCCGCCAGCGCCCTCCGCGAGGAGCAGCAGAACCGTGAGTATGCCGCCGCCAAAGCCCAGGCACGTATGAGCATGGGCTCCGATCTGAAGGGCGGGAGACGAGACTTCATGACCTACATGCTCAGAGAGAACCGAGACGGCGAGCAGGGCATGTCTGACATTGAGATCATGGCAAACAGCTCCGTCCTCGTCGGGGCGGGAAGCGAAACGACCGCAACCGCCTTGTCGGGTCTCTTCTTCCATCTTTCACAGAACCCAGACATCTGCCAGCTCTTGAAGGACGAGATCCGGTCCACGTTCTCCGATGAGGCGCAGATCACCATGCGGTCGACGGAACCCCTCCCCTATCTGAAGGCATGTCTCGAAGAGACCCTCAGATGCTATCCCCCGGCGCCCCAGATCCCAACGAGAATTTCCCCAGGCGATTATATTCATGGCCACTACATTCCCGCGGGTGTAAGTTGAGATCTTGTTCCTTCATTGCTAACCCATGCCTTGTGCCTCAGTCTCTAACGTCGTCGCAGACCGAGGTCTCGGTATGCCCATGGGCCTCGATGCGCCTCGCTCAACACTGGGTCGAGCCCGAGGCGTTCAGGCCGCAGAGGTGGCTCTCGCAGAAGCACGCGCTGTACGAGGACAGATTCGAGCAGGACAACAAGGCCGTCTTCAAGCCCTTCAGCCACGGGCCGCGGGATTGTATCGGAAAGAACCTGGCCTACGCGGAGCTCCGACTCATCACGTCCAGATTGCTGTACCGCTTCGATTTTGACCTGGTCGGAGACCACACGACGTGGTTTGATGACCAGCTATGCTATGGAGTGTGGGAAAAGGGGCCTCTTACGGTCTCTTTGAAGAACAGACTGGAGAAGTCGGTGGCCTAGGGACTCCCGAAAAGTGCATAGGTCGGCAGGGGGGTTTGTGAGCAGTGCAATCCTTTGGATGTTGGGTGAGGCACACAATTTACCTACCGTTGCACCTTGGAATGCTTCCAGAATGTTTCCGAATGATAAGCGCTGCCATCACTGTGAAATATTTAACCAGATTGTCGGGACCGACTGTTGTTCGTTTTAGTGGGGGTGCGGTGCATGGTTCAGGGGAGGTGCCCGCGCAATCAGGCGTTGAATCTTGATGATTCATGACGGCATGTGCTAAAGTTGATCATTTCGCTGCTGCTTGTCCACCAGTCACTCAGTATGCACTACTTAGATATGAAATTGTATTCGTGATCTTATTACCGTTTCAGTGATCATTAGCGCAATTCAGCTTGCATTCATGGTTTGTTTCAACCTTTTATTCCAAAGATAAATGAATCCGACTTTGTGTGCGCCGTAGGTACAGCAGCAAGCTGTAGGTACTTGCTTGTCCGCTGTGCACACGCTACAGATACAGAGTACAGGTCCCTGAAACTCTGTCCTAGCAACAGGTCGAGATATTGCGTCTAGCCTTCCATGCAACCGGGCGCCAACTAATTCTTTTCTTTTGCTTGGTCGGTGTGACAGATATCGATCCTGCACGAATATTAACCGACATACTGAGTGCAGCAAGCAACGTTGGCAGTAAACGCTCAAACACACATGCACCAGTAGGTTGCGCACCGTTGGGCCTAATACTGTACAGCAACAACGCTAGAATATCCCGCCCGACCCCGACGAACAACCCTCACTCACAGTTCATCAGCATCTGCATCATCATAGCCAGGGTCTAGACACGGAATATCACTTCGACAACCTTTCGCCGCCCGGAGACCACCAATCTACGGATACCTACCTAGGTAGTCCTGCAACATCGATTATAAGCGAGAGTTGAGGTGCCTTTGGAGGTGGTTTCCACTGCCAGGATCATCTGCGCTAAGGAGCGCCAATGCGCCATCTCGGCAATCCGAGTCTCTGACAGGCCCATTCACGTTGGCGGTTCGACTGCAATCTAAATCGACGAGACAATATCATTGGCCTCGACAAACGACATTTGCCTATATGATCAATGTTCGTGGCCTGCAGGATAATAGCTATCCAAGATCCCCATACACCTTTTACTGATTAATTCACCAGATTCGCAGCTCCTGCCAAAACCATAACTGGCACGCCTCTTCTCGGTAAGAGCTGTTGTCTGATTGGATCCTGCAAAGTCGAGGGTCTTCGCACTCGCATACATACAACCCGTCCGACCACATCTATCTGGACATGGTCCGCACATCGTGGGACAGTATCTGGATTCTTCATCACTGCTGAATATAAATTCAAGAACCATCGAAAGTCATCATTCTCTTGTCGAAAGTCAGCGGCCTAACTTTACATCATTTCCAACTCTGGACCCAACACTTCTATAAAAAGTGGCCCGCTCATTGGTGTTAATTCGAGACGACTGATTGCACTTCGTCCAATAAGCCCAGCTCTACATATTCGATCAGCATTGGAACCAACATGGGCAATCCTACCACAGCAGAACATCACCTCCGGCGAGGCTTGGAGCACGAAGATGAAGATTATGAACGCACCGTCCAGAAGCTCGTTGACCAGGACCTTGAAGACTGGCCCAACGACGCAGGCGTAAGTTCAATTTTGGATATTGCCACAAGCATATTGTCACAACTGACTGGCTGCATTTGTAGTTCGAGGGTCTAAACGAAATTCGAGGTCCAATCAACCTGAACGTCACAGGCTCTATACCGTCATGGGCCGCCGGCAGTCTCTACCGCACGGGGCCTGGTCAGTACACTGTGGAAGATACGCCTCTGGGTACGTATCGGACGTCCCATTGGTTCGACGGCTTCGGTCACTCGCACAAGTTCCAGATCATACCAAACGATCTCGACCCGAATGGCCCGATTCGCGTGGAATACTCTTCCAGAAGGCAGACCGAGGGTTTAGTCAATGAGATCAAGAGCACTGGCCTGCGTCCCACCGTTACCTTTGGTCAGCGCCAAGATATCTGTGTCGGAATCTTCAGCAAGGTCATGAGTGTCTGGCGTGTCGCAACGCGACCATTTCCAGCCAACATAGAGAACATCAATGTGACTGTGCAGGGTGCCGTCCCTGGTCTACCGCCGACAAAACAAGCACAACCTCTCGAATCCGGGCACCAAAGTACAACCAAAGCCATGTGGCTTGGCACCGATAATTCGATCCTCAAGTCATTTAACGAGAATACCATGGAAACGCTGGACTGCGAACCACACACGACTTTGCATCCTCTTCTCAAGGGTCCCCTCAGCTGTGCGCATGCTCAGCGAGATCCGGAGACCGGCGATTACTTCAACTATAACCTACAGTTCGGTCGTATCTCGACTTATCGGATATTTCGGTCGAACGCTTCCAGTGGTACCACGGATATCCTAGCGACCATTTCCCAGGCCGACGTCAAGCCTGCCTACATCCATTCGTTCTTCTTGTCGCAGAACTACGTCATTCTCTGCGTACCCTCCACCCACATCAGATCGATGGGCCTGAGCATACCCTGGAACCGTAGCATCGTGGATGC